CCAGGGCTAACCAGGAAGCCCCAGATCAGGCACAGACTCTTTTTTTCCCCAGACCCTTTGGGGTTTCCCTGCCAGAGGGAGGTGAATACACAAGCCTCAGAAGAGCTGCCCCGCAGCACAACCTGCTGGCATCTCTCAGCCAAGGCAGGACTGCTCCAAACACATCATCCAGCCCAGCACGAGCACAGAAAGCCAAGGTCCAAGGTTAAGGTCCAAGGACATGAAACTACAAGGAAGTCGACCCAAAATGCTGTAGAGCAAAGACCCGCTTTGCCTACAATAACTACCTCTCCAAAAGAGAGAGCTTTAGCAAGACTAAAAAGTCAAAGCGGAGTTCTAACCCTGAACTACTGAGGCCTTCTAGCAGACAGAAATCATCCCAGCTCTAGGCTTTGCTGCTGTTAAACCTGGTTTCTTTTAGAAAAATCACAAACTTATGAGCCCGTACTTTGTGCAAGATGAAAGTGTTTTGCTTTTGAACCCACGGGCCAACTTCAGCCAAGCAGAACAAAGGTAATTAAGTTTCCTGAGACTTAGAGGCCATGGAAAGGAGACAACTAGAGTTGCCCCGGTCAGGGGAGATGCTGCAATAGGAACCTTCCTTTACTGCAACCACAGTGGAAAAAGCCTTTAGAAATGCTTCAGCAGGGCAGAGCTCAGGTTTGCTTTTTTGATGCCAGAAATGAGCAGCCGTCAGACAAATCCAGAGAAACCAACTCCACGGTACCTCTGCTTCCAGAGCTCCCTGGGGGTTCTCCAACTACATGAATTAGCTGTTTTAAAGGTCATGCTTAAAGAGTTCTGCATATGCTCCCCAATTCTCTGGACACCACATGGCACGTTGCAAACTCACATTTGCAGTTGATAAGTTCTTGATTCCTATTATTCCTTTACATGTTTTAATATTCCATTATTTCCTTTCTTCTCTGCTGTCTAGAACAACATACTTCTAACACAGGCAACTAAAGAAGAGGGAGGTGGCATTTAGAATTAATCTAATCTAAATTTAATTCCAGGATGTTCCTGTGTTTTATTGAGAAAGAGGCCATGCAACAGGTTGAAACTCAATGTGCGTCAGATACGCTGCGCCTCATAGCAGTGGAATGTTGTTTTTGGCAGCCCCTTGGCAGATGTCTTCTAGATAACTTGGTAGGACCCCGTCTATTGTTATATTGTGAATTCTGCAATCAGACTTTCAAAGGTGTTGCATTTCCTCATTGAACATATTCACTATTAACTACTGCAATGCCACACCACAGCATGCAAGAGATTTGCCACCATTTGTGGTCTCAAAACCAAACCAAGCGAAGCCATTCTAGGAGGCTGGCTTTAGCCCAAACAGAAACAATGGGTTGGAGGTAGAAACAACCAAGCGAATGTTTGCTGCTGGTGACCTCCAACACAAAAAAAGCCAGAAGGGAAGAAATTCTGATTGTTTTGGACCTGCATATCAAGCCACCACTACACAAGAGCCCTTTACAGGACTGCACATGCAACCCACCTTCCACAGCACCACTGCTCTCCTTCGTCAGTGCTCATGAGCAGGTAGATGCAAAACAGAACCAGCAAAGCTGCTAAATCTGTACAACTGAGTTTCAGTGTGCAAGCCAGAGAACACACCTTGACTTTCAGAGGCCAGGCTTCAGCCCAGTATTTTTATTTTTTGATGCCTAAACTGAGCTAGTACAAGACAAAACCATTGGGACAGAAAGAAAAATCTACTTGACATTTCTCCAGCTGTCACTGCACTTTGAGCACCATTGCAATAGGTTTTAAACTAAAGGAGGGGAGACCCAGATTAGATATAAGGAAGAAATTGTTTACAATAAGGGCGGTGAAACCCTGGCCCAGGTTGCCCAGAGAGGTGGTAGAAGCCCCATCCCTGGAAACATTCCAGGTCAGGTTGGACGGGGCTCTGAGCAACCTGGTCTGGTTGAAGATGTCCCTGCCCACTGCAGGGGGGTTGGACTGGATGGGCTTGAAAGGTCCCTTCCCACCCAAACCATCTGTGATTCTATGGTAAAGCATGAAGATCTCTACTTTGTGTGCAGAAATGCACTGAGGCAAGACTCACTCTGGTGCTCAGCCTTACACTGAAAAGTTCAGTTTCTGCTGAGAAAGTAATTCACATCTGGAAGTGCAGTAACTCACAAAAGAACAAAAGAGACAGGCTGTGCCAGTATCTGAAGAGGAGACCTGGATGTAAATATACCAGGGCTGTGGGAACTAGAACAAGCTTCTGATGAGTGCTCACCTTCCTGTAAGAACCTGTTAAGAAGCCACAAAGATTTTTATGGTGGTGGTTTCTTTTAGCCATGATGTAGTTGTAATATTCTCACTGTGTCCATGAGAAACTCCCAAAGACTCTTGTAACTAGAGTTGCAACCCAATTCCAACACTTGTAATTATATCGTACCCACTTCAATTATCACCCAAGGGTTTTATTTGTTTTTAATAAACCAATATTCGAAAGTATCTGCTTTTTTGAAAATAAAACTCTTTCAGAGTTTTTTTTAAGTAATACCGCCTTCCTCTCTCTTCCCTTCCTACTCCCTCTAAGAAATCAGCACAGGAGTCTAATATCTCTTCAAAGGGAATAAATTCCAAGGGAATTTCACAAGCTTCCACTCCGCAGAATCCAGTGTCCAACTTTAGGTCTATGAAATGATCCACAGAGACCAAAAGAAACAAGGCCACAGTTCATGCCAAGTTCATCCAAAAAATTTCCCCATCTCCAGAATAAGCAATTATAAGTCTGATGATCATAGTTTGCCTTTGTGGAAATGGTTCAGGCAACTTAAAAAAAAAAATAAAATATTGCGGAGCACTAGCAGAACAGCTGCATCACTGACCCCGTCTGCAGGAAGGCAAGTCCTGCAGCCAGGAATTCACATACCCAGGCAGGGATAGATTACAGTGAAGAGCACTATTGCCTGGATTCACCCCACTGAGATGCCTAAATGAGGAGAAAAAGTGAGCTGACTCGGAGGTAACACCCATCTTCTTACCTGGGAGACAGCTCTTATCTCAGCATCTGGAGCAGAGCTGGCAGACCACATGCTCAGGTCTGTGGTTAGTGACTCACCTGCTTAAGTCATGCAATTAAGGTGAAATCCAAGATCTTTTTGTACAGATAAGCCCCTGGACTTTGTGGTTGCAAAGCAGCATCTGCCTGACATCTGCTAACAGCTCAGACGAGTTGTGATGAGAGGCAAACAGTCCCAAGAATCTCAGTGGGGTGCAACTCTCCAGCTATGCTGGGGGATGTTCTGTCCCCAGCACCTTGTTGCATCAGTACTGCACGTGGGTGGCTCCTGGAAGACGGCGGAAATCAGGGTTCAGTTCCTTTCTGCTGAGGAGAAACTAATTAAAAATAACCTTGATATACAATAAAATTTAGTCAAACTGAATTTTTTGAGTCAAAACTCACACTTCTTTTTCCCCTCCCAGAAATGTTGTGTGAATTTTATGTCTTAGACTTCGAGATTTCCAAGGAGGGAAACTCCCAAAACCACAAAGCCCAAGAGATGCTCCAACTGACTGGTGTGCAGCTGCAGTCCACGTGAAAGTGCTGCAAAATGCAACCTGACGCTGACATCCAAGTCATCTCACTTCCAAAGCCATCTCTTTCCTTTACTCAACATACTCTGCTTCCTGAAATCTTGTCCTCAAAACTTGTTTTGGGTAAGATCCAGGAAACTGCTGGATCCTCCTGCTCATTTCTTTCAAACAACCCCTTGTCTCTGCTGCTGCTCTTGCTATTTGCCACTGGTTTTATAGAGCTTTCAGCTTGATGATGAACAAGAAGTTTCCAAAGTAACCTCTTCTAGGGTAAAGACTCCCTCCAAATTCTAAACAGCCAAAGAATTTGCATAAATAACCAAACCAAAACCCAACAGCTCCAATTCTTTATAGGCTTGCCTATAATCAGCCTCAAGATTACATACAAGCATGATTAAAGAAGAGTCAACTAATTCAAAGTGAGAGACAAGCTATCAACCTGGTTAAAAAAAAAAAACAAAGCACCTTGATCCAGCATTTTGCTATCAGCATGTACGTGTCATTCAAATAAGCTGCATTCATCACCGAGGAACACTTACCAAAAATCAAGTGCTTTCCAGTCACTCTCTCAGCTGCAGCACTTGGGAGGTGAGCTGCAACTGCACGTGCAATAAAGTTTCCAAATTACCAGCAACTCTGAGCGGGTCCTAAGTGCAAAACAAAAACCAAGCCAGATGCTCTATGCGTGGAAGATGAAGCAGTGAATGGGTCTGCATGCCTGGGAGACTGGCAGCACACTGCTCTGAAATTACAGAGGCAGTACCCTGGAAGAGCATCAGCATCTTCTCTGACATGACCATACTTCCAGCTAAGGTCTCCAAAGCTCCCAACCTTGGAATATGGAAGTAGAGCAAGTTTGCTTAAGCCCCAAAGCCCACTTGCCTGCTTCTGAACTGGCAGGGACAGGAATGAAAACATCAATGCACCAAGATACACCCTTCCAGGGCCCCATTTATTAAGTGAGTACAAAAATAAGATCATTTAAGTGCAGAGGCACAGTAATCTGCTCCATGGTGAAAAGATACCTTGGTTAGCAGTAAACAGAGTTTACAACGTCTTGTAAACAGACCTCTTTACAAGCAAGAAGCATACTGAAACAGGACACACACTGGATTAAAATTTCCCTGTGGCAGCGACACTCCACACTGCATCTGGCAATTTCTGAGCGCTTTGCACAAGGTGAGAGCACCCTTTGCTCTGTTTAGGGGAGCGCAGCGAAATGAATGAAACACAAGGAACTTGCACTGTAAATAGTTGAAAGTACCGCAGCATTTTCCGAGGATGATGGCTCCCCCATTGTTAGGTTTGTTTTGCAATGAAAAATAATGGCCAAAGCTTGTGTGCATTATGGAAGTTTTTAAAATTATTAATTTTTTTTTTACAGCAACCTGTTGCATGGTTGAATAAAAAATATATATATATTTTTATTAATACAGTACATGGCATTTCTCCTCAATTGCACCAGAAGTAAATTTGGAAGCACTTTCAGTTTGTGTTATAGGCAAATAGGGAAGACAAACAAGTCAGGCAGGCTTTCAGTCTCCTTTCCATCTCTCTGCCCGCTGTTCTGTCCCCACCCTGTCACATCTCCGAGTCCACATACATTCCATTGATCAGGTAATCCACCTGCGTGTAATCCTTCTTTTTGTAGCTCTCATAGGCTTGCACGAGGAAAAGAACTATAACAGTTATGAAAAAAAACGTACCAACTAAAAGCACTACAAGAAGGGAACTTTTATCCACTAAGTACTGAGTCAGAGGCTTGGCAGCAATGAGAAGATACTCGTTGTCCCTGTCCTGAGTTTCTGCAAGGCCCAAAGCTGTTGTTTTGGGTGCATCTGCTGGAGTTGTGGGTGTTGAAAAAACACGAGATGTTGACTTTATCCCATGCCCAGTCGTAGTTTCTGCTGAAGAAACAGTAGTTAAAACAGTGGCACCTCTTGTAGAGCCCAGATGAGAACCTGATTTGCTCAAGGATGTCGTGGCTGTGCTGGCTTCTGGCTCTAGATAAGGTGACGTCATGGCAGGCAGTGGCTTCACAGAGTGTGAACTCTCCAAGGGGGTGAGGGCCATGGCACCAGTGGAAGCAGAAGTTCCTGCATCCTGCGGGATGAGGGTGGTCAATGCTGCGCTCAGTGTCTTCAGGCCAGCTCCAATAGCGGTGGGGCTACTAGAGCCAGGAGTGCTGGTGGTGGTGATGGCTGGGTTCAACTGCTCAGCTTGAGTACCTGCTGCAGAAGGGACAGTGAGGGGAGCAGAAGTAGAAGTGGGGAACAATACTGAGACAGAGCTACTATTTCCTGATTTTTCAGTGGTGTTCACAAGGTTGGTGACATGGCTGGAAGTGGAAGCAGAGCTGTTACCAGAAGTGGGAGAAGAGGCATTGGGTGACATGGCTTCAGCATGGAGATCAGAACCTCCAGAGGCGTTTGAGGCTTTGGCAGCTGTTTCATAAGCTGTAGTGAGGACAGTTGCATTTGTAACTGTTGTTATGGTTGTGGCAGTGATGGTGGTCTCAGTGGTGGTGGTCGCGGTGGTGGTTGCATCACTTGCAATTGTTTTTCTTGCATTTGTTGTTACATCTTCACTCCCAACATTAAGCAAATGCCTCAGGTGAATCTTGTCAGTTCGAGCAGCCGAGGAAAACAGGTTTTCCACGTTGTGTTGGTCAACCTGGGCATTCACCATCCTCTTCTTTTTCTGTGGATGGCTTTGGTGGTGAAACAGGACTGTTTCCCTTTTCCCACCGACAGTTTCTTCAAAAACACAAAACCAATGAGTTTCATAAGAACAAAACTCTCAAGCTCAAATCTGACCTCATACCCCCAACATGCAAACCCGAACACATATTCTGCAGTACATGTAGTACAACCGGAATAAATCAGTCCTGAAATCAGCAAAAACATGAAAACTCAGACACCCGCCCTTAATTGCACTTTGGGTTTTTTGGGTTGTTTTTTTTTTTTGGTTGGTTGGTTGAGGGGTTTTTTTTGCCACAGACCTCTGGCATTTGCCCAACCAGGGAATTAATTCCAGAAAAGGGGGGTAATGAAGTACGGAGCTACAACACAGAAGCACATTATCGACAGAAGCAGTGTCATGAATGCCAGCGAAGAAGAACTCATGCCTTCAAAGTTACACAGCATCAACAAAGCCTTCGTGCTCAGATTCATAATTTTCACCTCTCAAAACTGAGTGGCGATTTCCACTTACACCTTCATACTTCGGGAGAATTTCCTTCTAGTGATCTAAATTTATAGTGACACAAATCCCGTCTGCTTATCAAAGCTCTGGTTGCTACGTTGCAGAGAAACCTTTGCCAACCCAAAAGAATAATGAACAAACTTTTTTTTTTAAATTTGGGTACAGTAAACTCCTGAAACATACTTGAGAAGATTGATTCCCCAATTACCAACAAGCTCCATTTTGTTATTGTCTCACTTAATTAAAATTGAAGACCCTGGCACTGGGAAGTCACCACGGGCAGTTGCTGCTGAGGCTGCTCTGATTATAGAAGCCGCCTGCTGCCTCTGGCACAAAATCTTGGCAATGTCAGAAAAAAAAAATGCCAAGGCATTTTTCTTTCTCTTAAAAAATATAAATACATCTGTTACACCTTTATTTTCCAAAGGACAATGTGTGAAGTACAAATGACTTGAATGAATGTTGTCTTCAGCATGGAGACAAACCGTTAGTCAGCAGTAGTTACGCAGTTACAGAATTTACTCAAAGACATGTCATGTGTAAGTGCCAGAGCCCTTACAAGGCCAGTGATATGGTTTTTCCAGTCAACCAACTTTACCTACAGAATCATCCTGCAGGCATTTCACAACCCATCTCCCTCAGCTGAAAGCCAGTCAAGGTGTAAATGTAGGCTTTGAAAGCAAAAGGACCAGGATCCTGGGTTTAGCAGGAGCCTGAAGCCTGGTGTTACCTCTAAGCAGATCACTGATGTCTTGTTCTCTGGCATTCTGGCACACGCTCAGCTGGTGACACTGCAAGAGGATGCAGCGGTTCTGATGGGGCACAGACCAGTTACACTGATGGTCACCTGAAAAGAGCAAAGAAAATGGGTCGCTACATACCCTATACCGAACACACAGCTTCATGACTGTAATTAAAGAATTAAAAAAAAACAAAACAAAACTGGAAAGCCAATGAAATCAGTACAGCAGCTGCAGCCTTCCTCCCTGCGTGTCTTCTGGTACCAACATCTCCTAACAACAGCAATTCACTCACCCAGACAGGAACAAAGAGAGCACTACAGTTTGGACCCATCTAAATGCTGGCATTCATCTAGGTGTCTTAATGAGGAAAAATAAGGCAAGCTGAAACTGAGAAGACATCCATCTCATCTCCCATGGGAGACAGCTCTCATCTCAGTGCTTGGAGTTATGCAGAAATTTACTCTTCATTCGTTGAATGATACAGCCATGGGAGCCACCACAGAAACTGTCTTTCAGTAAGTCAAATCCCAACACAAGCTAAACCATAGAATCACAGACTGGTTTGGGTGGGAAGGGACCTTTCAACGTCATCCAGTCCAACCCCCTGCAGTGACAGGGACATCTTCAACCAGACCAGGTTGCTCACAGCCCTGTCCAACCTGACCTTGAATGTTTCCAGGGATGGGGCTTCTACCACCTCTCTGGGCAACCTAGGCCAGGGTTTTACCACCCTCAGTGTAAAAAATGTCTTCTCTATATCTAGTCTGAATCTCCCCTCATTTAGTTTAAAACCATTTTCCCTTGTCCTATTGCTACATGCCCTGCTAAAAAGTCTGTCCCCATCTTTCTTAATGGCGCCCTTCAAGTATTGAAAGGCCATAAATAAACTCATCATAGCAGGAACTTTCTCTCTTAGCATCCCTTTGAACTCACTAACTTCTTTCTGGCCATGTCTACATACACAAAATCAAGCTTTGAGGGAAGGAATGAACCTCTTCTAACCAGTGCTGAGGAGACACCTCAAGCACTGCACCCAGTTTGGGGCTCCCCAGCATACAAGACCAGTATTGACATACTGGAGGAAGTCCCAGGGGAACTACTAGATGTCTGAGGGACTGAAGCAGAAAATCCCAACTCAACATCAAGAGGAAAAACATTAGTTTCCACCAGGAGGTCACTCAAAACACTGGGCTGGGGGCCAAAGAGATGGTATGTTCTCCATCAGATCTTGAACAGCCAGATCTAAGTTGGGTTTGTACCAGAGACCTTCAAAGGTCCCTTCCAGCCTAAATGCTGCTATGATTTTATGTAATGTCACAGGAGCATGCAATTGATTTCTGAGACACATAACCAAAAAACCACAGAAGAAGATAACGCAGTGCTCAGTCTGGGATGAAGCAGATGTGTGTCCAACTGACCATCCATGGGTGGATTAAAGTGTACAGTAGGAGAAATTCACGTCATATTTGTTAGAAGTGTGAGAAAGGGCAAAGAACATGCCTAGGTAGTACATACAGATATATTTAAAGCTCTTATCTACACAGAGAGTTACCCCCACTGAGGAGTAAGGCTATGGGAAGCTTGAACTTTGCATGAAAAAACATTTACGTTACCACAGTTATTAAAAGGGCTTGTGGAAAATTTATGAACTTGGAGAAATCCCTGTGCCAACAGCTGCAGTCTGTGTTGAGAGCCCTAAAGAAACTAGCAAAGGTGGAATTTTACTGACTTTGATAAAATGTTATGAAAGTGACTGAAACCATTCAAAGCCTTTAAAAAATGGTACTTAAAAAGCAATAAAATGAAAAGCTTCAGCTGTCACACAGAGTAGGAGATACAGCAGCATCCCTTCAAGAAATTAAAATCCACTCCTCGGAAATGAAAGCATGTTTGGATGTGCCCTGATTCCCAATCCCACCACCTGTTCCTTGCTCAATAAGTCATGTTAGTGAAGAAACGCAGACCATCTACTACTGCAAAATGTCATTTCTCATTTCTTGGGAATCATGGACTGGTTTGGGTTGGAAGGGACCTTAAAGCTCATCCAGTCCCAACCCCCCTGCCAGCAGCAGGGACACCTTCCACTAGACCAGGTTGCTCAAAGCCTCATCCAACCTGGACACAAACACTTCCAAGGAGGAGCAGCCACAGCTTCTCTGCCCAACCTGGGACACTGGCTCACCACCCTCACAACAAAGAATTGCTTCCTCACATCTCACCTCCATCTCCCCTCTGCCAGTTTCAAGCCATCACCCCTCGTCCTGTCACTCCCTGCCCTTGGCCAAAGTCCCTCCCCAGCCTTCCTGGAGCCCCTTCAGGTACTGGGAGGCCACTAGAAGGTCTCCCCGGAGCCTTCTCTTCTCCAGGCTGAACAGCCCCAACTCTCTCAGCCTGTCCTCACAGCAGAGCTGCTCCAGCCCTCGCATCATCCTCGTGGCCTCCTCTGCACTGGCTCCAGTAGCTTCATGTCCTTCTGCTGTTGGTGGCCCCAGCACTGGAGGCAGCACTGCAGGTGGGGTCTCACCACAGCTGGAAGGTGAAAACAAAAAGCCAGCAGCCTAGCTGGCAGTGACTACATATCTAAGCCAGTCAGTTCGCTAAACCAACAGGGTCAGCATGGTTAAAGAACGCTGGTGTTTGCTGCCATCAGGGTGGCATCCTGCCCACAACTTCCCTGTTGCTCCTCAGGACAATGAGATACCTCTATTGAGCTGGACTGATTAGTAGTCCCTTTGATGCAACTCCTGAGTGAGGCTCCAGCTGATGTGTCCACTGCAAGATGCATGTCCCTCAGTGGCTCCTTTTTGCTCACTTTCAATGAGGAGACAGAAGAAAAAAAAAAAAAGAAAAAAAAGAAAAAAAAGAAAAAAAGAAAAAAAAGAAAAAAAAGAAAAAAAAAATGGAAGGACAACAAAAGCTCTTCAGAGCTATTTTGAAGGAAATCATGTAGGCAGGCACCATGGTCTTGCCCTACCAAACTGGTTTACTTCATTTTTAAGCCTGCTGTTGCTGGAAAGAACTCGCAGATGCCAAAGGCAAGCAGCAGCCAGGTAAGCAGATGTATTCTGGAAGCAGAGAGCAGGAATATTTGTTCTCGCAGCCATGTCAAGTGTCTCTGTTCTCAGAGCCAGACTGCTCAGATGGCCAAGATTTTCCCCTCCAGCCCTGGACTGGCCACCATAGAAGAAATCTGGGAGAGCTCTGAATATGGCTGGGGATGGAAAGGGAAGAGCATGAGCTTATCTTACCTCCCAACGGTGGTTCACTGTGCTCACCAGGCATCTGGGAATCCTGGATTGCCAGATCTTTGCTAAGTTGGGCACGTTCTCCATCACGTATATCCCTTACCCCAGCAGCAGCTGGAGACTTTGCATTGCATTGCATTAGACAACATATGGAGGCTGGAGTTACCACCCATGCTGTCAGCCCTGGAGAGTTTTGCTGTTTGTATTAGTGTGCAATTGAAGTGTCAAACTGTCTCATGGTATTTGTACAATCGTCTTGTGATCTGTTAGTTTGCTAAACGACATCTCCTGGCCTCTGCTGTGGATATTCAAAGATGATGTTGGAATAGCTAGACCAGCAAGCATTCCCTTTTCTGCAGGGCACATCTGAGATGTGAATGCACCAGCAAAAGTGGTTCTTTTTGTGATAGTTGCACTACTTCTCTAATTTAGTGATGTCATCTCAGCAAGGATATAAATTACATCTACAGAGGAGAGCCTAACCAGCTAGGAATGTTATTTTCCCACTTCTCCAAGCAATGTAGCTATGAAGACATCTCCCTGTGCAACCTTAGCCTGCAACTTAACTCTAATACCTTAAAAAATAACAACCACTGCTCCTTTACTGACAGTAACATAGGAGTAACTATTCTGACATCTGAGGCTCAGGCCTCGTGTCTGTAATGAAAGAAAGCACAAAATTGAATATACCTGGGGAATATGAGAGCAGTAAAGCTGATCTTAAAACGTAAGGCCAATTGTAAAAAGATATAAATTTCAGGTCCTTCTCTCCAGATGATCTCTCTGCACATGGCTACACATTTAGGTCAAGAATTTGGATCTTTTCCATCTCCCTTGACACCACGTAGGGCAACAGACTGGCCGTCGAGTAACAAATAGGAATTAAGTTGCTTCAGTGGGTTTAATACACAACGTAAAACCTAAAAAGGTTGATGCTTTTGGGTTTCATCTTGCATGGTTTCCTGAAGGTGGAATAGGTTACCTAACCCTAGTGGCTCAAGCCCCTCTGCCCAACAAAAGCTAACACTCGCCTGGACTTGCTCTGTACAAAACATGTCAAGAGAGAACAAGGGAAGGGTGTAAAAAAAAAAGTGGTTGAAGTCAGCAACAAGGTGAAGCATGCACTGAGGTCACCTCCCAGCCCTGATCACAGACTAGCTAAATTCCTTCTGTCCATCCTCTGGAAGAAGCAGCTGATAGCAACTACTTTTCCACCCTTATCAAATACAAGGAGGTTAAGATGACATGTGCACCATGTTTAGAGATTCTCAGGTGGAGCAGACAAACACTCAGTGCTACAGACCTGCAATGTCAGCTCAGATGAATGTATCATCTCTCCAGTGTTTACCACCTTAAACAGCAGAAGCTGAAGTTTTCACAGCTCTGGTGCCTTGGACATAAACCCATTCATATTTTCCTCCTAAATAAGATGCTTAGTTTATAAAGGTGCTTTCTTTCCACTATGAAGGGATGTCTTATGTTTAAAATAAAGGTCTGAAACCACTGGGCATCTTTATGATGTTCCTATCAGTATGACTGTCAGATGTACATCCACCTGAGCCAAGGGCTCATCTTCACCACAGCACCACCAGTTGTTTGTAGGGGCTGCAAGCTTTCACATGTGGCTAGATAAGATAGGATCCTTCATAAGGACCACTCCAAAAGACTCATTCAGAAGTTTAATGCTTTTTAAAGACATTCCAGAGGTAGAGAGCAGAAGGCTCTCATCTCCCCAGACTTGTTTAACCCTGAGCTTGGTTGCAGGATACAACTGGTTTATTCTAAAGCAGAAAAAACACACATAAATCCCAGTGAATAAAGCCTACTAATTCCAGTGCAGCTGTCTACAACAGCACTGCTCACTTGCAAACATCTGGAATAATCATTCTTCACATCAAGTGACCTCACACCGTTTGCACGCTACCAGTGCACACCAAGCGCACATGCACACGCTGTTTCTTACAGAAGCCAGACGGGCCCTGGAAATGGTTGTTCTGGATTCAATTTAACCAAAGCTGTCAGGAGTTATTTAACACCACAGGACAGCACAGAGAAGTCGTAACTGTAAATGCCTGTAAACAACTGGAATTAAGAAAGACAGTTGTCAGGGAAGCAGAGAAGACATTTAAGGAAGAGAAAACGCAGCTGGAATTCCAGCTAAGGGATAAGAACCTCACCTGAAGCACCTGGGCTTTGACAGGCCTGCCGGCACTGCTTTTCAGTCCTAAGTCTGTTGATTCGCACTATATGGACTCCTTTCCCTTTCAGGACAGAAAACCTGTGTTCACAGACACAGAAGGAAATCAGTAGGAAGAATGCGATGGCAGTCCACATCTTCAGGGTTGGCCTTGCAGGGAGGCTTCTCTTCCCAGAAGTAATTCTTTCTTATATCACTTCCAGATCCACTGCAATATACCTATTAAAAAAAAAAAAAAAAGAAAAAAAAGAAAGAAAAATTATCAATTTATATCAAAAGAGTATTCTACT